ACTTGCTATCCCAGCATTATTCATAATTGAGTTAGACAATTTAGTTTATTCATTTTCCCTTTAGAGATACAGTATATGCATAAGCTTTGTACCCAAATATCTTGAGGTATGAGAGACAGAGTTTACCCCCATTCCATAGTTGAAATAGTTCCTATTCCATAATTCCATTTCATGTTGGATTTTATCTGGTTGTTTTGTTCATAAATGGTTTGGTGTAACTGTGTTGCTTTCTCTCAAAATTGTTTAGTAATCTTGAATTGACACCTCCTCGTGCTTAGCAATTTTTTATTTTTATTTCTGAAGCCTTGCTTTGTTCAAGACTAAAATTTTCTGCTGTATTTTTCCCAAAATACCTTGATTACAATATTCTTTTCCATTATTAGACTTTGATCTCTTCATTTTTCTATTAAACTGCAATTGGAGTTTCTTAAACACTTTACTAACACTTTACACTTTGTTAACTGTCCTTCATTTTGATTTTGACAATCATAAAAAAAACTAAGGTCCCATTCTTTGAATTCAGTTTGTTCTTTTTCCTTTTGCTTTTAAGCAACAGTCACATTTTGATTCCTTTTATTTCTTGTAAGGACAAATATAGAGTCCAGTCCTATAAGGGATATATGGAATAAAAGGGCAAGACAGTTGCCATAATGTTTTAGTACTGCGTTGAAACTGATGGTTAAAGTAATTGTTCTGAAATGCAAAACTAGGACAACTAGAAAGGGACAGAATATCTTTTAAAAATCATATATAATTGCATACGCAAGCTCCCCTCTTCCACGAAAAGGTCACAGTCGTAGAAAACCACTGGTATTATCAACACAGAATCTAAAAATTTCCATTGTTATCCACTGTATATTGCAAAGGCATTATAGATAGTTATGCACGCGCTAGATAAACTATAAGCACGGAACTTCCAAATTACCATAGTTTGAAAATGATCACATATGGAATAATTTATGTATTGGCCAATGCAATTGTACCGTCTTTAACTCTGTGTGTGAAAATGATTATAAAACCTTGCTGATATGAGTGCTTGTGGTCTTGCCCAAGAAGGCACTGTCAAACATATTCTTTGTGTGCTTGACCAAACTCTGCACTCTTAATAAAGGTACTGGAGACTTTACAAATTGCGTCCTGATTGAATAAAGGGAACAGATTTGAACCTCATCACTTGGTGACTGAGAAGGAAGTAGAATGCTAAGAAACTCTGGAATTTCATCTCCAATAGTCTGCATCTTTTATTCCCTAAAAACCAGATTCATCTCTATGATTAAATATTCTATGCCATTTTATTATTATGCATACATTTTGGAACTGTTTGCTTCAGGTTGCATAGTTCTAGCAAATTAGCTTCAATTTCCTTTCCCATCAACATTATTTCATGGCCCTTTGTAACAGTGCAAAATCTACCTTGTTTTCCCAAAAATAAGACCCTGTCTTATATTTTTTTGAACTCTGAAATAAGAGCCTGGCCTTATTTTCAGGGAGATCTTATTATTTTGTGGAGCAAGATGGGGCTCCTCTTGCTGTCTTACCTGATTTCCAGCTCTGCATTTAAATATTTTTGGGGAGGGCTTATTATCAGGGGATGTCTTATTTTTTGGGAAACAGGGTATTTTTAAGCATTATTTTACAACCACGTTACATAGATAATATAGACATACATCATTTGCGTCCAATTGAGGTGCATACTATGCTTCTTAGAGTATTTCTGCTTTCATTATGATTTATCAGGTATTGCAGTTTAATGCTGCCTTTTCCACATATGTCTATAAACATTCCATTTACTCAATTAACTTTTTCGCAGTAAAATTTGTCAATGCTCATAAAAATATATTTGTTACAGACAAATTGATGATGTACCACTATCCAACAAAAATCTGTCTTATCTTTTTAAATTCAGAATCATAGCCAATTTCAAGTATGTGAACATAAATACTCTATTTGTCTATACTTTGTTTTTGCAATCCTTGAACAGGCTTGACTTTTCTTTTAGAAAAGTCATTTTGATCTCATTACATGTCTCTTATATGAGTCTTAGTTCTGTAAAATCTCCATTTTCCTTTAATAGGTCATCTTTTATTAGAATAATGACATGTTCCATTTCTTTCTTTTATGTTGTTAAGGAATTCTGTACAGTTGCAAACTATCCAAACTCTGCTCTATGACTCCAGTTTTGCAATTACTTTCTCAAGAGAAATTTCATCATGAAGTTTGATTAACTCTAATACATACTGTATATATAATATTCTGGTCATGATTTTAATAACACTTTCTTGATTAAATCACTAGAAATGTTCACACTATTTTTAGTGTCTCTGGAATAGAGTGATATTTTGGTGCATGTTCCATTAAATTCCCCAGTAATTTAAGATTTATGAGTTTTCTGCATGAAAGTATGATTGTTCATTTCTGAACATGCCTGTCTGTTTAACCAACCATCTCCATTTCTTTTTTAAAATTATCTGTATTAGTTTTGCCAAACAAAATCAGGTATTACATTTACGTAAATTCAAGATAATATAGAGGGAAAAAATCAAAAAGAAAAAAATATTAAAAATGCCAAAGAGATCTACTGTAATGTGACTAAAGGAACAAGTACTAGAAGTACTAAATACATATAAAATTATGCTCTGTTTGTGTGTGTGTATAATACCAGATTGTAATCTATAGCTAATAAATTAAACCATAAAAGTCATCCAAGTTTGTTAGTTCCTGCCTCTGATGTTTTATTAATTTAACTTTATAATTTTTTCTAATGTAGCAATTGAAAAGGTCTTAGTAATCCACAACTCAGTTGTTATATTATCGAGAGTTTTCCAATGTTGCACAACTATTAATTTGGCTGCTAAAATTAAATAAATTATGAGTGTTTTATTTTTAAGCCTATGATTTGGGTCTGTAAATGTAGCAAGCCTAGCTCTGGGGAGCATTCAATTCTTTGATTAGTGACAGTGCTTATCTTCTCAAAATTGTTATACCAAAAGGCTATAACTTTATTGTAGGATGAAAAAATGGGGGTGGGGATTTATCTTTTTTTGCATCTTCTTCAACATTGGCAAGAATATTTTGATTAATATATGCCAGCCTAACAGGAGTCAAATACCAATGATGTATAATCTTCTACTACATTTTTTGAATCAAAGTTGAAGGAAATCTGCCCAGTTTCCACAACTTCTGCCATGGAATTACAAAGATCACTTTCCCAAGCTTCTTTTAAACCATATGGTGGCTGCCCTTTTTCTGATTGCAATAATAATCTATAAATTTTTGAAAGTGTTCCCTTAGGTGGTTCTAAATAATGAAGATTAAAGTCTCAAAGTTGATGTAAATCCATGTTGCTGAATCTCTGATATTTCTATTGCCCAAAAGAGGTTTAAATTGATACCAGAAAAGCCGTGGTAATTTATCATTTATTTGTCACTCAATCTGATCTTTATCAAAAGGTCCCTATTACTATAAAAAATATTTTAATCCATAAAGATTATAGCCTCTCAAAAATTTCTTTTTAGCCAAACCATAGTAATCATTCTGATCAATATATGTTATTAGAGGACTTAAAAGGGATATATCCTTTATCAGAACTCTGCATATACTCTTTGAAATGTTGTTTTAGTAAAAACATTTTTAATCTGTTTTATTCTCTTTCCTGAAGTACAGTTTAACAATTGGCTTACAGTTTGTTAAGTTCAACCTCAGAATTACAGTATTTCAGATTTCAGCAATCCACCCTTGTTCATCAAAGCTGCCTGACATCTTCTGAGAGGTCCAGCTTTTCAAATTCCATTTGATGTTGCAGATGCCATAGTCTTTCCCATTTTCAAGAATGAGATTTTCTGGTCATTATTCACAGCCATTTAAAAAACTCTTGTTATATTTGTAAGGATAAAAAAATGTTCCTCAATTAGGATTTTTAAGTCCTATTAAAAATCAACAACCTATAACCTCTAAGCATTGTTCAGCTGTGTGCTATATCAAGTGCCTGGAAAGAAATTTGGGATATTATTATTACTGGGGTGATCAGAGTTTAGTTTTGCTCCATACTAGGCCCATAAACTCTTTTTTTTTCAATAATTACTGTGAGTAATTTTCAGTTTAGTTTATAACAAAATCAGATAACTCAATTGAGCTAGCAAAATATAGTGTAATATTTATATATTAACCATCAGCAACTACCAAAATAGTTAACTGGCAAAGTGGGATAAAAGACCAGCAGACGGAGAGATAGAAAATGAGAGACAACCAACAGGAATTGAAATATTCTGCACCATTAAAAAGACAATTTGGTGGAGAGAGATAATGTATCCAACAATTTCTAATGCCTTAGTTCTCTTTTCCAAGATGTCAACCTGCTAATCCAGAAATCTAAATTCTAACACACAAGGTCCTGTTCTATCTTCTCAAGAAATCAAGATAACATGGATATGGACAAGAATTTTCTCAACAGTTTCTTCAGCACTACATTTGTTGTACTTACTCCCAGCTAACTCTAGTTATTTAATTGGTTCAGCCATCACAGTAACTCTAAACATGGTTTGTTTGCTTATAACTTAATGTCATACTACATAATTGTGATTTTTTTTCAGTAAGGCAGACTTTTGCACAGTATGCATAGGCTGAACTTTTATAATTTGTTAGAAGATAAAATTAGACAAGCAATTCAATATAACTCGATTGGACTTTAGTTAACATAAACCTCTGTTCCATTTTTGTTATTTGAGTCATCCTAGCAAGAGTTTTACTATATTTTTGCTGTTCCTTGAAACATTTAGGTACTCTGTAGTTCCTTTTTAAGAAACATGGGGCTTTCACTGAAATAAAAGATGCTCATTTGACTGACCGTACAAATGAATATGCCAATTGAACAGTTTATGAAGAAAGAAAAGGCATTATTTTCTACAAAGTCAAACAATCCCCTAAATTTACATCCATCCATTCACATATACACACCCATATATACATACCCTTAGTGAAATAATGAAATAGGACTCTTTTTTTTTTTCAGATCACGAGATGGCAGCCATGTCAGCACCTTTGAGCCTCTCATCAGATTAAGCAAGGCCACCCCGATCCACCATGCCTTCTCCCTTCTGCAAATTCCCAGTGAAAAGTAAGCCACCCAAGAGGTTTGCTTAGCAGGACACCGATTCTATTTCCCAGCTGGTCCACTTTGATTGCACTTAGACTTCTCCTGGACCCCAGAACGCCAGGACTCGATTTTCGCATTTGTGAATATAGATTACAGGACAGGAACCTTTCTCTCTTCGCAGACATAATCACATGCTTTTTTTATTGAAGATAATGTCCATTAAGGGGAGTTGGTAATAAGCTGGCTTACATGTTGGAGCGCTTTGCCTTTGAAATGAAGATAAAATGATCCACCCAGCTGCAGACTGTTAAGACCCTCAGTCCCAGTATGAAAGGGTGGGGAATATTTAATAGGTGTTTATGGCTTGGGAGAAACAGTTCCTCCTTTAAATGAAAGAAATAACCGAGGAGAAAGTCCATGATAAAAGACAGCCCTGGACTCTGAGAAAGGCCTCACACGCAGAGTATCTGTTATCATGATAGCACAGGATACCTCACTCTGTCTGAGCTCTTTGATACAAGAGAAGAGAAACTGTTTTTAATAAAAACTTATTGAAAAGCATTTTATATTTTTATATTTGTACATGCCAACTAAGGGTCAGCAGAATAGTAGAAGAGAGGAAACCAAATTGTTGCCCTTAAAAAAAAAAGAACTGTTATCATAAAATGTTAAGAAAGGTCAATTCATGGAATAATCCATTCACTTCCCCCACCAAAAAAGATAGAGGAAAAAAACCAGGAAATATTGTTTAATTCTTTTATAAGGACTGTTCTGCATCTGTGTAGTATAATTTGCCATCCGGTATGTGGGCAACCAGTCTAAATTCTCTAATTGAGAACTTTCTTTTGCTTATAACCTCAGGCCATTAGAGGAGTGTAAAATGTTACAAGTTTAACAAGGAAACAACTGCATCAGAATTTTATGTTTGAGTATAGTTTGGGGTTACTATAACTGTTTCCCAGTGAAACCTTCATAAAAGATTCCTTTTTTGTTTGGGAATGCCTCTTTTAATATACCTACATTCAGATAAAGTCAAAAGACTGTTCTTCTCAAAAACAAAAACAAAAACCCCAACCTACTTTCTATTGATTATTCCATGAATTGAACAATAAAAACCATGTTGATAAAATTTGGTGAACAAAGGTTAGGAATGGATATAAAAGTGTGTGTATGTCTTAAAAACAATGCAGCCATGTTTTATTTATAATGACTAGATATAAACATTATAACATGCTCACATTTTTCAAAGAATAGAGATAACTTCACCTCTTCTTTGTTTTTACTCTTCCCATTGCTACATTTTTTCCATGTATTATGTAGCTTATTTTTAAATAGCTGATCACTCTCCATTAAGGTTTCTTTTAATTAAATTTTAGTTTATTTTCTCCTCATGACTTTCTTTTACAAATATGATTTATAGTTCACAAGAGAAGAATATATGTTTGCCACAAAAGTCCAAGTTTTTCGTGATCGGATTCACAAGCATACCTTGTGAAACACTAAAGCGGTTCCACGCAAGTGGAACAAGAGAGGATTAGATATGGTCAAAGCAGACAATGAATACATCAGAGAAAAACTATTTCCTCTGTTTTCTAAGGTGACTTTCCACCATTATGTTCAAAGATGCAGGGCTGTGATAACCTTAATATGCTTGTTTATTTTTCTCCAGTGTGTTCATGAAAGATAAGTACAGGCCTTAATGTTCTGAAGCCCGAAGATTAATATGTGATTATTCTTTGTAAAAAGTGAAAACAGAACATTTTTTAATTCTATGGCAATGGTGAGTAGATTGTAGGATATCTTTTGTGATTTTCTAATAAAGAACCAAAAATCAGAACTGATTCTTTTGGCAAAAAGAAGAAGAAGAAGAAGAAGAAGAAGAAGAAGAAGAAGAAGAAGAAAAGAAGAAGAAGAAGAAGAAGAAGAAGAAGAAGAAGAAGAAGAGAAGAAGAAGAAGAAGAAGAAGAAGAAGAAGAAGAAGAAGAAGAAGAAGAAGAAGAAGAAGAAGTGGGGTTGTATTTCAAATTTTGGAAAGATTTTGGAATTTTTGTGAGGCTCATTGTGTCTATTATGCCCATTATATTCAGTTTGAAAAGCATCATGGATGATTGAACATTTTCCCCAGCCCATTCTACAAGTAGTTCTTGACTTACAACTGTTCGTTTAACAACAGTTCAAAATTATGATAGCCTCGTAAAAAGTTACTTATGACTTGTCCTCAAAATTATAATTGTTATACCAACTCTTGGTCATGTGATTGCCATGTAGGCTCACATTTATGATGGTGGCAGCATCTTGTGGTTACATGATCGTGTTTTGCAACTTTCCAGCAAGGGCAAGCCAGAGTCGCTTAATCACTGTGTGATTCATTTAACAACCATGTAATTTGCTTAATGCTTGCATAAAATGGCTGTAAAATCAGATAATGTGTGATGTCTCTCTTATCAAATGCATCACTCAGCAACTGAAATTCCTGTCCCAATTGTGGTTATAAATTGAGGAGTACCTGTCGTGACAGAGATAGGTTATCTGCCATGATTGCTGCAACCATTGGATGCCAAAGACATTTTTTAAAAAAAAAGGAAAAATGCAATCTCTGGCCCCAAATGATTGTCTGCCTCTATCTTAATGGAACAGTACCCACAATGAATTAGATGAGATCTATGCCATGGGAAGGAATTGATTCCAAACAAGCAGAGCTAATCCAAGCATGCCAGGCAGTCGTGTATTTAAATCCTCTACTGCAGCTGTGTTGTTTCAAAATACCATAAATATAATGGATTTAGTTGATGCACCCATGTATCAAAATATCTCTCTGTCTGGATGCCTTGGAGAAGAACTGTATGTTTTCAGTTTTCCCAGGAATAAATATTATCGATGGAGATTATAAAAACTAAACCAAAAAAAAAAAAAAAACTATTGACAGTAACTAGGAAAAAAACAGTATTCAACAAAGGAGGGAAATCAATATAAAATGTAAAAAAAACCTTTATTACCCGACCATACTATGCATATTTTAAAATCCTCAAACTATAAAATCTAAGGAGTCTGCTACTACTGTAGCATTTTACTTTCTCTACATGTATAAGCATTCCATTTACTGGAATGCTTTATCATAGAGGACTGTTACAAGTTGAGCACTGACTGCTTTGTTTTATCTGGCAACAAACTTGGGTTCTATTAAATTGATAGAATCTTGATTTGTAACCACTCTAATCATACATCTGAGAAATTTATACCTTTCCTGAGATAAACTAATTCATCAGTGAGAGAAATAACTTTGTTCCTAATATGTTAATTTTTATCACCGGGGAAAATTATCCTTCCTTGCCTGCTTCCCAGCATACTTTTTGAATAACACAATGATAAAAATAGCAAGGAACTAATATTACTGGAACTAATATTACTGGAAAGAAAACAGTATGGTGGGATGAGGGTTTGTATATTTCAGTTCTGATATGGCCAGGAAAGAAGTGTTAAATGTATTGATATCAAAATAGTTTATATTCACATTGTATTAAGTTTTATTGACAAAATTATTTAAGTCCAACATTTTTTTTTTAGGTTTAGGATTCTAAAATCGAGATGAAGATTATCCGGTGGAGGTAATTTCCAACAAAATGTATTTTAATTGCTTACAAAATATATTTTCTTGGAAATTACCTTCATTGGATCTATAACATTCATTTGCAATAGATGGGCTTAGCATTACCTACAGAGCCCAGAACATCCCAAAAATTATCTAAGTCATTGGAATTGAAAATAATATTACAAGTGAACTGTTTGTTTAAAAAATTGTTACAGTCCCTGTTTTCTAGAAGGGAAGAAAGGGAATGTATTTACAGGTGGTATACAATACTGAAAATGAATTTGCACGTATGAAAATGAATTGCAATTTGAGATCTAAAAATGGTAAATTGGCTTAACCTTTATCTGCAATCCCTTCCACTTTTCTCATGTGGCATCATATGAAACCATAGCTTCCCCTCTCCATTTTACCTTTCACAGAAAACCTATGAAAGATTTTCGGCAGTAACTTCAGGCTGGTGAAGAATGTTAGTATTAAGACAATAACATTCTTAGCAAAAGCTGGACCCGAGAAACGAAGAGGTGAAAAGTGACTGGCATTCTGTACGCAGTAAGAAAGATATTTCTTAGCTTGGTTGCTACCTACTGAAGCTTGGCCTATACTTTTTCCTTCTCCGTCTAGCCTTGGAAAACAGTAGCGTACCTATCAATACAATGATCAGAGGCTCATTTACAAGCTGCCTAGTTTTCTGCCACAGCCTCTAAATAAGAGATTCTTCCTGGAGCTGCAGTGATTGAATTTTCAATCATTCATTAATCACTTTCAATGTTATCAGCTTAGCTAGTGTCAGGGCTTCAGCAAGATCAGCACCTCCAGCCATTATTGGTCCTGCCAGCAAAGTACAAGCTTTCTATATTCTCAGCAGAGCCATGTTCTGGCATTAAATACTAATCTTAAAACCTCGATGTTGTGAAAGATTTTGTAAAAGAAAAGGGGAAATGCTGTCAAATACATTAAAACAGAGGGTGCTTTGAAAATATACGTTTTTAAGGGCTAGTCAGATCCCTATTTTTTAAAACCTAAATTATGACTTTATACAGAGAGGGAATTTTTCCATTTTGATGCTATTCTGAATTCTATTGCATTGTGGAATTTAAATGATTTATTTCAAAAAGCATTATGGATACAACTAGAAAGCTGCTGTCTCTTCCTCTTAATATCTTGACAGGGAATCAGTACTTCTTTTGGTTATACATCTGATGATTTCCTTCATTAAAAATTACAGGCTCATAAAATATTCTGAATTTTTCAATAAGATGTGCAACAATAGCTGGGTTTTGAACTCTGTATGTTGGAATGGACACTAATAAATAAAATATGTTTTGGGCAAGTTCTATGAAGACACCGTTGTGATTTAAAGAGAGTATTGGAGGGGAAAAAAATAAGATTAAAAATGTGTGATATCAAATTACATTCTGAAAATTTAAAACCTATTGAAGACTAACACATTTAGATTTATTGGTTGTGGGGTGCAGCTAAGGAAGTTGATTTACTTTGGTGTATCTGTTTCAAAAATCCTGGATATGTACGCACTTTCTACAATACAAATTGAACTTCTATTAATGTTGGGGAATATCTGATCAATAGTTTTCCATGTGGTCAGTTTTAAAACTTGGGTCCCATTGAATTTATTCTGCCACATATCATTTTTTACTTTCTTTCTAGTTTTTTGCTTGGCTTTCCTTGTGGGTTGTTCATTTTGTATTAGAATAGAATAGAATTCTTTACTAGCCAAGTGTAATTGGACACAAAAGGAATTTGTCTTTGGTGCATATACTCTCAGTGTACATAAAAAGAAAAGATACATCCGTCAAGAATCATAAAGTACAACACTTAATGATAGTCATAGGGTACAAATAAGCAATCAAATCATACTAGGAAACAATCAATATAAATCGTAAGGATACAGCAACAAATTACAGTCATACAGTTATAAGTGGGAGGAGATGGGTGATAGGAACGATGAGAAGATTAATAGTAATAGTAATGCAGACTTAGTAAATAGTTTGACAGTGTTGAGGGAATTATTTGTTTAGCAGCGTGATGGCGTTCGGGTAAAAACTGTTCTTGTGTCTAGTTGTTCTGGTGTGCAGTGCTCTATAGCATCGTTTTGAGGGTAGGAGTTGAAACAATTTATGTCCAGGATGCGAGGGGTCTGTAAACATTTTCACAGCCCACAGTTTTTGTATTTCATTCAGTTTTATGCTTGGTGACTCATTTTTATTTTACTTCCTGTTAATTAAAATCATTTCTTAAAAAAGATTATGACTAGGATTATGATGGTAGATACCATGCTTAGCACACTCAATATTATACTTAGATAACTAATTGCTCTAATCATAGGTGTCCAACCTTTTGACTTACCTGACTTGCATTGAGTAAAGAGAAATTGTCTTGGTCCGCATATAAAATAGACCGTATAATATAGTTAATGTATATAAATCACATAGTAACGTTAAAAGTTTACGATCTTGTGGGGGCGCATTACTAGCTGTCCAGGGCTGCATGCAGCCCACTAGCCATGAATTGGACACACTTGCTCTAGATTTTTATTTATAAAACACTCCCCATTTCTTCTACGTAAAGATGTATATTTATATAAATATTTATTATTATAATGTTATCATTACTCCATCTGTTGTCATACTGCAGAGAGCTATGCATGAGGCTGAAGTGCAGTCTAATCTTGCTCACATCTCTGGACATATTAGTGTACTTATAATTGCATATGCAGTTAATATAGTGGACATAATGGATTGTTCACATGTACAGATTTCTAAAAAACTTAAAATAGATGTTTCAAATATGCAAATAACTAACAAATTTCTATCTGATTTTTGTATATACCTGAACTCTTAGGATTCTGCAAAGCATTCGCCAGGGCACTTTGTGAAGCTGCTTGAAGCACCGAGGTCTACACGGGGACTTCACTGTATCAATTGAAGATACTTTCACTGAAATTTCAGCTCAGTTTCCAGCAAATCCCAGCAGAAATCTCTTCTGCATCTACATAAGCAAACTGCAATCAGGAACATAGGAAGGTTCTCAAGGCAGGTTCATCAAGCTTTGGATTGGGCTTATTGCTTCAAGTAGCAGGTTTGGGTAAAATTGTAAATGTTTCATAATGTCCTATATACTTTTGCTCTCTCTCCAACCCCCTTTTCTCTGCATACACACAAAACCAACAAATTTACTTAACAATAAGTGAGTAAGTAAAATGTAGTTATTTGTCATCTGTCTTTCTAAATGGCTGTGTAAGATAAAGAATTGAACACAATTCACATCATCAAAATTTCAATATAGCTTTCTGAAATAATGAAGAGTTAAATGACAGATGAATATCCAAAGAGGCATTGTAATAAGTGTTTGTGTATAGCTAGATAGATATATAGCTATAGATTAAGCTACATACACACAAACACATGTAACATATACATATATGTGGGTACTGTATGTGTGTAGTTTTCCCAAGGAATGAACCTCAACAGATCAATGATAGTTATTTTTTTCTCTTTTTTTAAGTCCTCAGATTGCCCATCAGCTTTGACTTCAGCAATGAACATTTTTCCACACTGACTCAGATTTGCCCCCCAGTGATTAATTAACTAATGCTATAGTTGATTAATCTACTGATTAAAGCATACAGCCCTAATCATAAAACAGCAAGAACATTTTTGTTACTGAAGCTCTGCACTCCATTTCAACCGTTCAGTGTCGGAGTCAGTTCAGATAATAGAGGAAGGGGGCCTTGATTTAAAAGGCAAGACACCAGCTACAGTGGAAGGGGGAAAGAAGTAACCCAATTATCCAGTTGATTTGAAATGCTTAAGTAAAAATGCTGATGACATAGCATTTCATGCTAAGGAGATTTAGCCTGCACCTGGATCGATATTGTTGTCCCTTTTCATTCTGGTTATAGCTTTTTTCTCTCCCCAAATTTTCCCTACATTGTTCTTGAAAGATCTGTTACCCTTACTAAAACTGCATGATTAATTTTTTTTTTAAAAAAAAGAAAGGTGTATATGATCTAAAGAGAAACCAGTGTGTATGTGTGGTGTGTGTATGTGTATATGTGTGTATGTACACACACACACGCACACACATATATATAAAGTTTTGTCACTGGTCCAGGGATCTGGATGCATGGCAGAACCCATGTGGTGATTGTATTCATTTGTCATAGTTGATTTTGTTTTTATCTTGGCTATGGATTATATGTGTTCTTGTTTTATTTTTTTAACCTACTTATATATAGTTTTACTTGCTGTTAGCCAACCAGAGTCATGAATCTGAAATGGACAGCCATACAAATTAAGATGAGAAATAAATGAATTATGCAGTTGTAAGTATATATTCAGTGTTCTGATGTGGGGGACAGACTGGATTGTTTTATTTGTTGATTTTATTTTATTTATATGGATGCCTGAATCATAAACTGTGATTCTGAGTGGCTAACATAGGAATAAATCCAAAAGCAGACCAACAAGGTAGAACAAAGAGGAAAATAATATATAAATTAAAACCAACCACAAACATTTAATATTCCAATCATTATAGACAGTCTCATCCAGGACCCAGGGAAAAAGCCAGGTCTTCAAGGTCTCTCAGAAGGCCAACAGGATCAGAGTCTTCTGACTCTCTAAAGTGGATGACCATAAGAAAAAATATTTTTTTTAAAAGTCATGATTATAATATAGCCAGAATTCATGGAGGTTTTATTATTATTATTATTATTATTATTATTATTATTATTATTATTATTATTTTATTATTATTATTATTATTATTATTATTATTATTATTATTATTATTATTATTATTATTATTCTCTTTTATTCATTAAAAATGAAACTCAGTCAACTGGACATTTAAAAATGTGCCACAAATACCATTGACTGGTGCTAATGGTTGATACAGGTTGCTGCCAGCATCCTAGGTATCAACCAAGTACCAAGTACAATATATGATATTCCGAGTAGCGCAATTTTGTGCAGTTCCGCTGGTGTTATTGCAGGAAGCTGCAATTATTATATATTATTATATTATTATTATTATTATTATTATTATTATTATTATTATTATTATTATTATTATTATTATTATTATTCACATTTTCAAACTGCCAGCCTCTCTCATAGAAGGAGTTAGGGTTTTCAATTTTGAGAAAGAGTTAAATATAGCAATGGTAGAATGGTGTAAACTCGGAGGTTTCCTTTTTAAAGAAATTCTAACTTTTTTTAAAAAGAAAAAAAAGTAGAACAATGGTCTCCATTCACCAATCGTATGAAAAGATGAACTGTCAAATGAACTTATAGGTAAAGGTAAAGATAAAAGTTCCCCTCGCACATATGTGCTAGTCGTTCCCGACTCTAGGGGGCGGTGCTCATCTCCGTTTCAAAAGCTGAAGAGCCAGCGCTGTCCGAAGACGTCTCCGTGGTCATGTGGCCAGCATGACTAAACACCAAAGGCACCCGGAACACTGTTATTTTCCCAGCAAAGGTGGTTCCTATTTTTCTACTTGCATTTTTTACGTGCTTTCAAACTGCTAGGTTGGCAGAAGCTGGGACAAGTAACGGGAGCTCACTGCACTAGGGCTTCAAACCGCTGAACTGCCAGCCTTTCGATCGACAAGTTCAGAGTCTTAGCCACTGAGCCACCACATCCCTTTCATGAATTTATAACATCATGTCAAATTGCTGTAGCGGACCGAACTGCAGAATTAATTATATAGGCTAATGAAGAAATATCGCTTCAATTAGCCTTCTCCAATCTGGTTCCGTCCAGCTACACTGGGCCTGTGGTTCCCAAACCTCTCAATCAGCATTGTCTTTAGTTGGACACATTGGTTGGGACTTCTGAGAGTTGCACGCCCCTCAACATATCTGAAAGGTGCCAGATTGATGAAGTCTAGTTTAAGTCATCATCAAAGAAAACCCGCAAACCCCTTACCAAGTACTTCTGAAGGTAGAATACTGGGACAGTCTATTTGCTCAAGGCTGGGGAACACAAGAACAAGATCAAAGTCAGGTTTTATAGATAAATTTAACTATGTATTTCTGGCAAACCAATAAAATCTATAGTCCCTGCCCACTCAACAGGGATACTATTTTTGTCATGATCTTTCCCATAAATTCTTCATGAGTGACTCAGGGTGTCATTTTACTTGCAGTTCTTGGACAAACATCAGCCATACTTGAGAGCATCGAAGTGTTACAAAGGCTAATCAAAAGCAAATGTAAATGTTAAAACAACTTGTATCGTTTAAGAGCCATTTTCTTCATAAGAAAAAAGATGAAAGATACTGAGCATTACGCCATTTGAGTAGAAGGCCTTTAGGTTTCTTCTTAACTAGTGATGCAGAATATACCTTTTATTTTAAATATATCTGCTATTTTTGTGATACAAAATAGGGTGGTAATAATGCTATACTCCTTTTAGTGTTTGGCAATTGTTCTTTTTTCATACAAGATTATATGATGCAGGACTACCTACTTTCTATGGTAAGCAATTTTGATCAGTTGAGAGTTTTCTCAAACAGTTTTAAATCCTGCAAAAAGAATGACCAGAGACATCACTGGACTATGCGTGCATATGAACCTTCTCCATATGTGCAAGGAGAAGATCAAAAGTCCTAGAATTGACTGACAAGGATAGAATGTTCCTCCTCCATTATTACAGAATGCTGGCTATTGGAGGGAAAAGGAAAATATTGGAAGATGGTAAGCTGGCTGGATCTCAAACTCCATCCTGCACCATTTTATGGCCAGATTCTTTTTACTTAATTTCTTTCAGATCAGGAAAAGTTTTCTTGAAGAAAAAAATATTTCCTAATGATTTAGATTTCCACTTAGTACTGATTTGGAAGTTAACAAGTGTTTATAGAAGATCAGAAAAGACAATGGAGGTTGCCACATAACCAAGGTACTAAGGCCAAATCAGTTAAGGACTCTTTACTCTCCCAGCAGCTGTCCACAGTCCATTCCATACTGTTTGGGAGGGATCCTGACAGTCCTGGGACATATTTTAGGGAACCTAGGAAGGTGTAGAAAACAGGAAGCTTTCTTTTAACGAAATTCCTTAAGTTCAATTGTCACAGAATCAAAAGTTCTGTCATTTTATAGTTATACTGTTTACAGCTGTTATTAAAACTGTTCACTTGTAGTTCTTGAAATGGCATATTCTTCTCCTATTTATTATTTATTGTACCTTCAAGATCTATCAATAATACTTTCTTCAATTTACACAAGGTATTATTCAAATTTAAAATTGATTCAACTAGTGATCCCAACACATATTTAGAAGAATAAATCAAGAAGGCTTGTTTCTCTGTAAATATTTTTGCTTAACTTGACAAGTTCAAATATTAATCAGTGTATTGTTATGTTTATTCCCATTTTTATGCATATGAGTCATGTTCATAAAAAAAAAATTTTTTATTTCTTTTAGATTGCAGATTGAATTAAATTCCACTAACATCTTCCACCCCAACAATCATTCTTCTTCTTGGACCTACCAAATACACCATGACATACCTCCCTTCTCTATCCCTGCAGCACAACCCTGGGGAAATTTGCTTTTGATTTAAGCAATTGTAGATTGGCTATACAATACATGTACCCAGATGTTCTCCAAAACACCTTCTTGCTCTGAATCTGAAACTTTGTAGATCCCTATTCCCTATATACTCAATTCCTTCTCTAGAGGAAATGCTGCAAAGCAGTTTTGTAATATTTCCTCTGAAGCTGAGGGTTGGGCAAGTGCTGTCATTGAGTATGCCTGCTCTTGGGATTTTCTCTTTCTTGCTGAAGCCAACATGCCATAGCATTTTATCAACCTCTCCCTTTCTTTAGACAAATCACGGGGACAATTTTGTTGCTTTGCCCACATCTTCAGTAGTGTTTTTCCTTTCTTTGCCATGAAAGTGAAGATATGTGCATAGGTCACTGATTGGTGATCCTGGAGGCCTTTCTATCCTTTCACCTCTTCTTCTCCAAATCTGGAGACCAATGGTAACACAATAGAGTCGCATTTGGCGATGGGCAAGACTTCCAGCAGCATTGGAGGAGTACCAATCATCACTGAATTGTTTTTGTCCCTCTTCCTGTTGTTTAATGCTTTTTCAGGATCTGCAAACTTAAAAGATCCCAAGCCGGCTGATACATGTGTCCTCTGCACATCTTTTGGTTCCTTTCTTGGCTAATAAGGAATAGCACTTAAAGCATTTAGATTGCTATTGTTGTGTATGTTATTGCTGCCAATCCTTATTACTTTCCAAGTAAATGAAGTGACTACTGTAGTAGGTGAAAATATGTTCAACAAATCTGATGGGTCCAACAGAAGAATGTGCTTTGTAACTTATTTGCTTGTTTATTTACATATTTACTTGATTTATGTAACCACCCATCTCCCAATAGCAACTCTAGGCATTGAGAAGGAACACCTGCACTATTTTCTTCCATGAGTTCAGTACAGTTATGTGTTTTAATGATTTTTTTTTACTGTTGTTAGCCACCCAGAGCCATGAATTTGTGGTAGGCAGATGTATAAATTGAATAAATAAATGGAATGAATGACAACGAATGAATACCTAAACACTGTGTAAAACATAAACAACAGCAGAGGTACTAAACCAGTCTAAACAAATGGTGACCAAATAATGGGCTCTGGCTAGAACTCTGACCCCAATTTATGTTGACATTGGTTGACATGAATATTTAGTAAACCTTCCATTTTTGAAAGGCCACTCCTCCAGTTCTCTAAAGAACAGCAACAGAGGCAAATAAGGTGTTCTGAAATTGGTTTCAATGAACTGCTACCTACTTTTCATTATCAAATGAGAAAATATATATGACCTTGTAAGGAAAACTATCTTATCTTCTTGGATAGAGAGACTGCAAGTATTCTCAGTGCCTAGGTAGGGAGCCTCATAGTTATTGGTCATGTTGATAATGTACTTCCTGGGCTAGGGTGGTTGGAGCTGCTTTTGAGTTTTGTTAATGTGTGTGTGGGGGTGTTGGGGTGGGTGGGTGGGAGTGTTCACTGGATTTGCCATCTTATTCTTTATTTTGTTCTTATCCTATTTGTTTTTGTTGGCCTTGTCTTTTTGAATTGTATTGCATTTTTTTTTCTTTGTTGTATTGTGAGCCACCAACAGCCACTCTGAAGCTAACAGCATATAAATTGATTAATAAAATTAAATTAATTGAGAATTGCTAAGAAATAGCATTCAGCAACATTTGGAGAGCCCCCTATTGCCAGTTTAACTTTAACACTTAACCGCGGTGTGAAGCATCCTGCTTATGTAACATTCTGTGTGATCAATATGGCTCAGTAATGCTTTGGCTTA